TTAAGTAGTTAACTACTACTACTAGCTTATTTATTAGTAGTTAAAAAATAATATTAGCTTATTAGTAGTATTATATATATTAAATAACTATTAAATTTTAGTTATATCTTTATTAATAGTTTTAAACTATATAATTAAGTTAGAAAAAGTAAAATATACTTAAAAAAAAATCTTAAAAAAAAAAAAAATTTTAGAAAATAGAAATTAAATAATAGTATTAGCTTATTAGTATTATTATATATATGAAATAAGTATTATATATAAGTTATACAGTTTTAAATTGTTTTAAACTATATAAATAAGATTTAAAAAAAAGCTTTAAATAATAGTTAATTATAAACTAGTAGATAATAAAATTACTAAACAGTAATGTATTAAAAAAAAATTTAAATTATTTTTTTTAAAAAAGTTAAAACTAAGAAGCTAAAAAGTTACTTACTAAGATCTTAGTAAGCTTACTTAGTAAGGTATTAGTAAGGCGCGTTTCCTATTTAGGTAGGTGTTAATTACTTTAAGTACTTCGCGCGAGTTAAGAAGAAAATAGCTTAAGTTCTTAATTAGTACTAGCGCTGAGCCAAAAACCTTCTTTGGGACTAGCGCGGTTCTGCGCGAAAACCAACTTTTTAACCTTCTTTTCTTAATAACTTAACAACGAGTTATCGTATTGTAATGAGAGTTGCACCGTTGAAATCGCAGCGTTTAACTCTATCGTTTAAGCCCAAAAAATTAATTTTTTTTCCTTAAGGTTTTGCTAACCCTCACCCACATTCGTAGCTCCAATGGCAGAAATGCTAGAGAGATCTCTCTCAGCAAAGAATCCAAGCTTGGATTAAGCGAATTCTTGTATATATTCAAAAAATAATTGAGCTACAAGGTGGTAATAAGTATATAGAAGGAAGGGATAAGCCTCGGGTAAGGCGGCCAAACTTCGGCTGAATCATTCTTGGCAGGACAAAACTTTTAAAGGGCACCTCCGTATAACCCACTTAGTTAACGTTCTATGCAGGGGTCGCGGTACCATAAGAAATTAATCTAGGTAAGCGCTAAGCCTATCAAAGTATGGGCCTATGGTCCGGCTTGGCGCTCCGATGGTGACCTGACATGCCGCCTGCAGCCCGACCATGTAGCGCACAGGAAATTGCTGTGCAGGGGTACATACAAGTATCTCGGCGTCTTACGGATGCTAATTTCAGAAAAGGATAACGCTCTAAGCCTAGCTGACCGTCTCAGAATGGTTTGCAGTGGACAGAAGATAGTAGATCCTTGAACGGTAGGTCAGCGGGTTCTAAGACTCAGGCACGGTCCATAATCAGAGGTTACCGTCCTAGGCAAGCTGTCGGTCTTCCAGACATGGTTAGCGAGGAGGGGCGCTGCTTCTTTGGCGTGAAGGTACTGTTGCAGACGACGAGGTGCCTTGTCTTAGTGTAGCCGTCTACGGCGATCGGAACTGCTAGTCTTGCCAAGGGCACTTAGATATCAACAATGGCTTGGGGACTCCTTGTCTAGCTTCTTAAGAAGTAGTCGTCATTCCGCAAGTATGGTAGCTCCTGATCTAGCGATCCACACAGTCTAGGGTACTAGGCCAATAATGCTCGCACAGCAGCGCCTCATACAAGCGGGCTCTACCCATGTATCTAGGAACGAGTTTTCTTGGTACGTCTAAAGTAACTTAGTGTGCAATTTAGGACCATCTAGGATTTTTAGCCGGTCTCAGTGCTATATTTGGTATTTCGTAATCACAGCCCTGTTGTAATCTACGACGGGCCTATTTTTCTACACAGTAAATTACGGTCGTAGTATTATCTAAGACGGGACTAGATGTCGGATGTGGGCGGGAGACAAGGAATGGAATAGGTTGGGCGAACAGATTGTCTAGTGAGGTTACAGTGTAGGGATAGTTAGTAAGACGAAGCGGTAAGTAAGAATATGCTGTAGGGTCTAGGGTTACAAAGAAGATAGGATACCCATGATATAGATAAGCAAATCTATTCATAGAAAGATAGAATAATAGTTTAGACTAATTATAAAAAATATTAGGTAGGGTATTAAAAGATAGGTAAAGAGCGGAAATAAGGACAGATATAAAAATAAGGAGAAGCTACTTAATATATTAAGTATTACGGGGCTTAGAAGAGATACAGTGCATAGATAACAGTATTTAGAGGGCTTTTATAGTCTAGACTTCGGTAGTGCTAGAATGCTAAGTGGGGTGTAAGATTGGTTAACGTATTTGGACGGCGAGGATGACGATCTACTACGATAGTCGATATCCCGATGGGGATGTACTAACCGTGATGGATGTGGTTAGGGGCATGAGGGATTATGTATATATTCTACGCAGTACCTTTACAATGAACCATCAATATTAAACAGCACAATTAATCTACTCTTTACATAATATCTAAGACTACTTTCAAGTTATTCTTTGCATAATGTGGGCCCCAAGTATCCTACTTATCTTGATTCTCGGCCTTGTCCAAGCAAAGCCACTCTCTCTTAACGCGCGTGAACTCTCTCTCGACGGGCGCGAACTCTCTCTCGATGCACGCAGCGTCCTGCATAAGCGGCAGGGAAGCTGCGTGTCCATTTCACGACCTGCGAATAACCCTTCTATCAACAACATTGGCCAAATAGATATTACCTCCGTTGTAAACGGAGGTCCTGGGATGACATGGGATCTTAACAACCTCGTTAGAGTTCATGTTTCACGCGAGGTCGATGGATCATTATCTTTTGATTGGACAAACACTGGCTCAGCCAATCGGCTCATCGTTACTGAATGGAAATAAGTCTCTCTAACCATTTAATAAATACTTGTCACTAACTTATACTACTAGTTCTAGTTCCACCTCTGGAAATGGTTATGTGCTTCTTGGTAGTTACGGTCTCCCTACAGGTACGGGGAATATCTGTTTCCCCGTAGGATCAGGACAAGGTAGAACCTGGAAAATGCAGCTAGAGGACTAGAGAATGTTAGATATAAATGAGAAGGATAGTCGTTGTATGGAGTTCTCTTATAGTAAGAGTTTAAGCTCGGCCGACTAGGATTAGGGGTTAGCGTTATGAAGCTTAGAATGTAGGTAATGGTAAGCTTAACCTTAAGGGAAAAAATTATTTTTTTTCAACTTAAATAATACAGTAAAGTTCTATGATTTCAACGGTATAACTCTTATTTTTTAACTCTAGCCTTTAGGGAACGTTTTCGTGAAATAAAATTTTAGGATTTATTAGAACTAGTTATATA